CCTTTCTTTCTTTCTTTTATCCTCATATGAGGATATTTCCCATTGATTTTTAGAGAATGTGGAAGAGAAAGGGAAAGACCGAGAGAAACATCAATGTGAGAGGCACACTTCGATTGGTTGCTTCCTGCATGAGCCCTAATCTGGGCCCCGGCCAGGGAGGAGCCTGCAACCTTGGTACATGCCCTTGGTCAGAATAGAAACCGGCCCCCCTGCGGGTTTGTGTCTCTGCTCCAGCCTCAGCAGCCCAGCGCCACGGCCATGGAGCAGGGGCTGGAGGCTAGCCCCCCTGCATGTTGTTCTCTCTGGCTCCGGGGCCAGGCACGGGCCGTCCTGTCTGTTGCTCTCTCAGACTCTGGGCCCATGCCAGGCCCCTCCTCCTGAGCTGGTTGTGGCCATTACAGCGTCCTGGCCTAATTTGCATATTGATATAGATAGATAGATGGATAGATAGATAGATAGATAGATAGATAGATATAGATAAGGTCAGATGAAATTGCCTGCCACAGTCCTGCCTGCATAAAGTAGTCTTTTTACTGGCAACAACTTTGAATGTCCGAAATACCTGCATGATTAAAGTTTATCTCAAGGGACACCTTAGATAAACGCCCCTCCTTTCTTGGACAAAGGGGAATGAGAGAGAGAGAGAGAGAGAGAGAGGAACATTGATTTTGTGAGGCGGAGAAACATGGATTGGTTGCCTCCCGCACACACCCAGGAATGACACTCCAACTAACTGAGCCACCTGGCCAGGGCTAATTCTCGGTTCGGTGGTTGAGAATCAACCTATGAACCAGGAAGTCATGGTGGGAATTGAATCATGCCCAGGTTGGGGGCTCAGTCTCCCAGTGGGGGGCTCGCTCTCTCTCCCTCTCCCTTCTTCTCTGAAGTCATTTAAAAATTCTTTAAAAAACAACAACACATAACTTTGTATATTTCCTAATTTTGTTGTTGTGAAGGTTTTATTTGTCAAGTAGAGAGCATATTCTAATAGTTGTTAGATGTAAGATATATAGAACTCCATGTGTACTTTTAAAGCAGGCTGGGCTGGCAATGTGCTGTTTCTTCACACTATACAGATGTGTTTTTGCAGTTTCTGTACATAGGTTACATTTCACAGTAAAAGAGGAAAGGAAAAAGCATCTCGGAGGATACAATATGTGACCCTGATGGATACTATAAATCTTCCAGCTAAACTTGGTAAAAAGTATGGGTGAGATGGGGAAAGTATGCTCACTTTGTTTAGATATGAAAACAGCTTTTGAGGATTTAAGTCAAACCATACAGCTCCCCAGAATCCTCCTTCCCTGAGGCAACCAGAGACCTTCTCTATACATCAGCTCCAGCACTGTTAGAAGAGCTGGGAAGGAACCAATCAGCACCCGGCCAGACACAGGACTGTGGACAGAGGTCATTTAATCCTGGCAGCACCCCTGCCAGACAGGGAATACTAACTCTATTTCAATGGTAGGAAACTTGAGGCTCACAAGGATTAATTCTCTAAAAGGCCACAGAGCAAGGAGGTAGAATGTTGGCTCAAGGCCAGCACACTGAAGATTCCTCAAATACTAGTACACCAAATTCATTGATTTATCAAGGGTGGAAGACAGATCTAGGAACTGGAAAAACAAGTGAACATCAGTGATGACTAGGACAACCAGGCTAGGGGTTCAAAGACCAGCCTCTAGTCTCATCTCCTTGACATCACAACTCCCTGCTTTGAAATACACTCCTGCCATCTTGACTGCCCATCTTTTTATTCCTTCCGACTCTTGCTAAGCAATACTTTTCTGAATTCTCCAAGTTTTCTACAATGTTAGTGTATTACTTTTATAATCAGAAAAAAGTATTTGTTTACTTTATGCTTATATAATGTTTACCATATGCTAGATATAGTTCTAAGTGTTTATAAATATTAATTCATTTACTCATCATAACAACCCTATAAGGAGGGAATTATTAATATCCCCTTTTTACCTAAGGAAACCAAAGCACAGAAAGATTAAGTAACTTGACCAAGATTAAGTAACTTGACCAGCTAGTCAGTAGCCCAGCCAGGATTCAAACACAGGAAGCTTAAATCATGCTCTTATCTACTATACATTGCTGCCTATTTAAAAAACAGATTATGCCCGAGCCGATTTGGCTCAGTGGGTAGAGCATTGGCCCACGGATTGAAGGGTCTCAGGTTTGATTCTGGTCAAGGGCACGTACCTTGGTTGTGGGCTCAATCCCCAGTGCCAGTCAGAGCATGTGCAGGAGGCAACCAATTGATGTGTTTCTCACATGGATATTTCTCTCTCTCTCTCTCTTAACAATCAATGGAAAATATCTCCTTGGGTGAGGATTAACAAAAAAGAAAAAGGAAAACACAACAGATTATCCTTATGGGAAAGCTACTCTAGTGCACTCCATCTGCACAGGGATGGGCATGGATGCAGGTACATGGAACCTAGGTCTGGGGCCCTGGGAAGAAGTGCATTCTCAGAAACAGAGGCACCAGCAAACAGCAGGAGCAAACACGAGTGGTCTCTCTGCCTGGCAAGGCTGCGGCCTCCGAGGGCAGTTGGAATGTGTGCCAGGCCACCGGCAACTCCACACACACAACAGGATGTCCGGCGCTGAGAGTACACAGTGGTTACTCAACTGAAGTGCTCCCCCAGAATGGTAGAGGCCCCTCCAAAAAATATCATCTT